CTCATCCTTACAAAACTTTTTTGACATAGTGTAACTAATATATGCATCAAAAGGGACCATGTGCAATAGGACTAGGAGACTTTGAAACAGTCAGCAATCACGCACTTTAAAATTGCACTAAAAATTGATTAACCTCCCTGGCGGTATTTCCGAGTGTAGCTCAGGGTAAAGTTTCAGTGCCACAAGCGGTAACCCCGAGCTACACTCGGATTTACCATGCGGCGCTGCATAGGGATCTGTTCTTCTCTTACCTTGTCCTGCGCTCCCGCGATGACCCTCCTGCAGTTTCCCCTGTAATGTCCTCTGGCCGATGCCGGCATCTGTCATCTGGGTTCCGTCCCCTGCGAGCGTCTGGATGTACGGGGACGGAACGGTGGGAAATTTGAAAATGACAAAAAGTGACATTTACTAAATTCACTAAAATAACATAGTAAAACATTACTGTATCAAATCATTTCACATACATTTTGTCCCTAGTGCTTTGTCCTGTGCCCTGCCTGCATTTTTACTGTTCTTTCTGTCTGGAAACTGAGAAACGTGCCCATGGCGTCCAAAAAGCATCCCTTTAGGTCAAAAGCGGTTTTAGACCAGCTAGAGAACAGCGATAGTAAATTAGAACCACTTGCATAATTGAGTGATAATGATTTGTGGGGAAATTCGTCATCAGACACTAAAAACTATTTTGTGACTTTGCTCAGTGATGTGCGAACTTGGCGCTATATTTCAAATTTCAGTGTTTTTGGTTTGATTATATTGTTGAATTAAATTTATTATTTTTTTTTTATGATCATTTATTAAATTATAATTTATGATTTCGTGTTTCAAATTTTAACATACCCGGGATGTTTACTAGACTCTTGTTTGGACAGATTTCAGTGAGTTATTCCTAAAAATTACAGGCCGACAATAAAAAAAATACATATTTCCATGCAAAAAAATGTGCACTTTGAGCACAGAAATATGGACATAATCAGACTGCTAGGGAAGTTAATGTGATCCTGTTTTTTGCCTAAGCAAACCAACAGATTAATTTACTCACCTTCTGTTTTTTCACTTCACTGCTCCATTCAGACAATGAAAATCCCTGTTTTAAGCTCAAAACTGAACCTAGTTGCAGCTTACACAAGGCTGGGGAACCTTTTCCTCTTTCTCATATGGTGGCTCTGGTGCTTTAGTGGCCAAACAGCTAGCGTCAGTATTGTCACATTGAAGGAAAGGGAATCAGTCACATGATCCCTTATACTCAGAGGTATTGAGCATTTCTCATGGCTATAGCTGGGCAGTGAAAAAAACATCAGATTTTTTACTTTCTTTCACTGCCCCACTGTAACAGTGTGGTTGTGAAGAGTTTATTCATGCAAAAGAAAAGAAAATCATTTTTTTTTCCCAGAGTGGTTACTAATCGAGTCTTCAGGTCCCCTGGAGATGAGAGTGATCTGCGGAGGGTTCTGCAGCTGCAAGAAAGATACTTTTTAACATCTTCCCAACACAAGATGACATTAACCTCCCTGGCGGTATGATTATTTCAGATTTTTGGTGCTGAAAGCGGTACCATTTTTTTTGCATGGAAATATGTATTTTTTTTATTGTAGGCTGTAATTTTTAGGAAAAACTCACTGAAATCTGTCCGAACAAGAGTCTAGTAAGCATCCCGGGTATGATAAAATTTGAAACACAAAATCATAAATTATAATTTAATAAATAATCCTAAAAATAATATAAAAATAATAAAAAATTTAATTCAATAATATAATCAAACCAAAAACACTGAAATGTGAAATAGAGCGCCAAGTTCGCACATTGCTGAGCTCAGTCGCAAAATCGTTTTCAGTGTCTGATGACGAATTTCCCCACAAATCATTATCACTCAATTCTGCAAGTGGTTCTGATTTACTATCGCTGTTCTCTAGCTGATCTAAACCGCTTTTGACCTAAAGGGACACTTTTTGGACGCCATGGACATTTCTCAGTTTCCAGGCAGAAAGAACAGACAAAATGCAGGCATGGCGCAGGACAAAGCACTAGGGACAATATGTATGTGAAATTGGTTGAGACAGCAATGTTTTACTATGTAAAATGTAAAAAAAAAAAAATGACATTTTTTAAAATTTTTAAATTTCCCGCCGCCAGCGGCGGCGGCGCCCGTACGTCCCGACGTCACAGGGACAGGACACAGAAGCCGGATGCCGGCATCGGCCGAAGGAGATGGCCGGGGACGCTGCAGGGGACACATCGTGGGAGCGCAGGGTAAGGTAAGTGAAGAACACTTGCTGGAGCAGTGCCGCATGGTATTCCCGAGTGTAGCTCGGGGTTACCGCTTTTGGTACTGAAATGTTACCCCGAGCTACACTCGGGAATACCGCCAAGGAGGTTAAAGTGTTACTAAACCCAGGACCCTGCATTCACTATATCTGGTCTCCCACAGTACACAGAATACAAGTAAACATGGAAATGCAATTATTTTAGTAAATGAAAAAAACTGCTAAATGCCTTTTCTTATCAGCAGTTAGAGCAGTCTTGTGGCTTCTATCAGTGTTCAGCCAAATACTAGCTAAAGCTTGTAGGAAGAGTTTTCCTTTTGCTGTAAGAGGATACAAAACCCTTGACCTCTGTCTGGACACTGCTGATTGGCCAATCACATGCACTCTCCCAAGAAAAAAAAAAAAATCTCTCTAGCAATTCACACCAAACTGAGCATGTGCACAATGCCTACGGTTCAGTCTGTCTTATCAGGAGATAAGAGGTGGTCACTTGAAAAAGGGGAGGAACAGAGAAGAAAGGATCAAACAGCCTTTTCACACAATGCAGAGGATTAACCACTTAGGTTCCACAGCGAGTATAACAAACATGCTTTACTGCATATACAGACTGATTTTACTGTTGTGGATTTAGTAACACTTTAAAGTGTAGGTTCACCCAAACAGTTTTTCCTAGTTTTGGATAGAGTGGGGGAAGGGTTAGAACCCCTGTCAGGTTTTGGCTGCTATCCAGAACTTGGTTAGAGAGATGATGGTGAAACCATTGTAAGCAGGATGGGAAAGAGGGCAAATCTTCTTAATGGAACCATGAATAGCAGAAAAAAAAACATAAGGAGATTTGATCCTTCTTTAGGCTATCCATAACAAGTAAGAACTTTTTTGGCTTGACATACACTTTATTTACAATGGAGGGTTAGGAAGGGGTAACTTGTTGTTGTTCCCCGCCCAATGTACAAGCAGTGGTACGCAACAGGCCTAGATAGATAGAATGATGGAATGATAGACAGACAGACAGACAGATAGATAGATAGATAGATAGATAGATAGATAGATAGACAGATAGATAGATAAACTATTTTAATAAAGTGTGTTGTGCAACAACTGGTGTAAAAAACACTTTTTAATTTTAATATATTTGTAAAAATGGGGACTAGGAAAAAAAAACAGTTGTATGTATGTTTTTATTTCACTTGAAAGGTTGTAGAGATTTTGAAGACTTTGATTTTTTTTATAGGGGCTTGCTTCTTTCCATCAGAAGTTAGCATTTTCCATCATGTGGATCCAAACTTAGATGAAGTGGCTGAAAAGGCAAAAGGATTTTCTTACCTTAATGCATTCTCTTCATTAAGGTAAAAAACCTTCTGTGTTCCTCTCCCCCCCCCCCCCCCCCCCCCCCCCCCCCCTCCCTAAATACTTACCTGAGCCTGATCTCAATCCAGGACTGTGCCCAGCAGCTCTCTCCACATTGGACATGGAGGCAGCAGCTCTCATTGGCTCACATTGGACATGGAGGGGCAGCAGCATGAGTGCCCCTATAGCAGATGATTTGCTATGGGGGCAATCAGAAGGAGGAGGAGCCAGGAGTGCCTGCAGGGGACCAGAGAAGAGGATCGGGGCTGCTCCGTGCAAAACCATGGCACAAAGCAGGTAAGTATGACATGTTTGTTTGTTATTAAAAAAAAATTACCTTTACGATCACTTTGAGTGGCTATTATGAAAATATGGCAGGGCAGTTGATGTTACAGTACTAGGCTGATGGATATACTCATGCATGGAGTCCATAGCCTTGTAAGCAAGGACTTCAGTGACATGCTTTTCCTATCCAGGGCTTTCTTTCTCACCTGACTGCTGAACAGAGAGGCATTGGAGTGAAAAGAAGGCAAATTTATGATGCTGAGAAGGGCTATATTAAGGTGGAAGTAAATTCCCACTGGACACTTGTACCTGCAGGTAAGTTTATACTAAAGCTTACCTGTAGGTACAAGGAATATCTCCTACACATGCACCATTTATGAGATATTCAGTGTTCCTGCAGCTGATGATGTCACCCGTGCATGCACAAGACTCCCGCGCGCATGTGTGGGAGTGACGTCATTGTGGTTCGGCCAATCAAGCGGCCAGAGTTTCGAACCCGGAAGGAAGACTGGGTGAAGGTGAAAGCTCTGACAGCACGTCACTGGAGGGCTTCATTCTACGGTAAGTCTTTCATAATGTGCTAGTATTCCGTGCATACAAGCAAATTATGACATTATTTTTCAGGGGAAATTTTTTCTTTTTTTAAAGTAAACCTGTTGCTTTACTCTGCATGACTAAAGCAAAGGTTCACTTTAAGCCCTGGTTCACACTGATGTGCTTTTAGATGCGTTTTAGACTGCGGTGATTCGCATGACATCATTCATATCTATGCAACCCACATGTATTGCGCTTTCAAAAAGGATGATGTGCGTGTTTGGAGCAGTGCGATCTGATTTCAAGGTCCATAGAGTGGAATGTAAATTGCATGTGAAATGCTTATCTGTTCACAACACATGTGATTTCAGTGCATTTTTGTCATGTCTCCTGGGTGTTACTGAGATGGTTTCCAGAAAAGAGGAAGAGAAAGAGAGAGAGACTCCCTAGGGCATTAATCCAAAATCACAACTGTATGAAAAGCGCATGAAAAATGCATTGCTATCCAAGCTGAACCTCAGCTGAATCACACCGCAGGTGTTCCCTGAATCGCAATTGAGAACTGAAGGAACTTGCATCGCTTCTGTGTGAACCTAGCCTAAGGAATATGTCTAGACTAACTGGTATATAATGTATGTAGATACATATAACGAATGCAATGTTGTACAGCAGTATGGATGCTTAGATATATAGCATGTATCCAGGGGTGGACTGACAACTCATGGGGCCCCCAGGCAATAGGGGATCATGGGGCCCCATTGTCCTTGCCCAAGCTCAAAAAGCCTATGAAAAAGTTACCAGGGGCATCTCATGGGGCCCCCTACTGGCCCCGGGCCCTCGGGCAGTGCCCGAGTTTCCAAATGGTCAGTCCGCCCCTGCTTGTATCAGTTATGCGTAGGTGCAGAGTGATAGCACAGAGGCTGATTTCAGGAAATGGCCTGCTTTATTCACATTTCATGTAAACAAACTATGTAAAAGCACAAAGACTAGCAATCATCTGACTATAAGGAGCAGAATAGTTAAGGAATATATAGGGAAAACAAGTCATTTTCTGGGATGCAAACAGACTGTCATTTACAAAACTGATATTTTGAAGCAAAGATGATATTATCTCCCAAGTTTGTAGTGTGCAGTTATCATCCTTCACCTTTTTAAGTATACAGGGAGTGGTTTTAGCGAAGCAAGCAATGCATACCTCCCAACTTTCTGATATGGAAATAAGGGATACCTTTTGGGAAAAGTATGCAGGCATTGGACACACCCCCTGCCACTCCCCTCCAAAAGGAGAATTATTATTGTTATATGTACTTATGTAGAGCTGTCAATTTTCATAGCACTTTACATGTATATATTGCACATCCACATCAGTCCCTAACTGTCGAGGAGCATACAATCTAATTCTAAGGTAATTATATACAAAAAATTATTGTTGAACCCACAAATGCATTTTTTATCACTAGTATTCCTTTATATTGGCTTTTGGAAGTTACGATTGCAGCCATTAAGAAATTGGATGAAAGGTTTATCTCTGTAAAACACTTTTGATAGATAAATAACGCATTTTATGTACAATTATATAGATCAAACCAAAATGAGGGACAAATGAGGAGGAAAGAGGGACAGAGGGACTTTTTTTCCAAATCAGGGACAGTCCCTCGAAATCAGGGACAGTTGGGAGCTATGAGTAATGTGCCTGTCACTTACTTCAAAGAGACTGGCACTACGGGATAAGAAATATTTTTAACCAACACCAGACTTTTATTATGCAGTTTTGGTAATTCTGTGAGCACCCTTGTAGTGCATATGACCTCAATGGGAAGGTCATCTTTGATGCTTAGGGATTCAAGTGACTCACAAGATCCAACATTGATTTACAAAAAACAAACTTGTCTGTTGTGGCTGTTACTTCTGACCTGATGTCCACCAGACTGTTCCCCCAATGTTTGCAGACATCATCGGCCACTCCCAAATATTTTGATTTTAGTTCTGTTAGGGTCTCTAGGTTTACAGCACACAAGTGTTCAAGGTAAAGACTGCTGAATAATGGCCAGTCCTGAGTCCATCACAGAACTTCTGTACTTCTTTCAGCTTTCTTCAGCTGAGCTACATGAGAATTTTTGATAGTAGAAGTCATCCTGAGATTCAAATTCAGGTCAAGCTCACGTTCAACCCTAATTTCCAGAGTATGAATATAATATTAATTTTCAAAATAAAATTGGATTAAAGTCAAGGAAGACCATATTTGACAATTACTTTTATCCAGGATTTGTTTTCTCAGAGAATAGGTGCAGGAACCTCCTCCTACTTCTGAGTCTCCCTTTGTTTCTGCCCCCCCATCCACTTCTGAGCACTGTCCCTTGGTTCCACCTTCCTTCCAGTATCACCCTTTTTAGAAAATATGGAGCCAAATATGAGTCTGTGGTGCTAATATGTCATGTAATTTGTATGTAATTTGTTAATGATAACAAGAAAAGTAGTAAAATAAGACCCCTACAGCCAGCAGCAATAGACCCCTACCCAGCAACAATAGATTCCCCCAGCAACAATGGACCCCTGAAACAAAATACCAGCCCAGCAACAATAGACCCAAAGCAGCAACAACAGATTTCCCAGCAGCCAGTAACAATAGACCCTTCCTCAACAGTAGTTCTTTTTCCACCAAAAATTGATTCCCCAGCAACAATAGACTTCAACGCAAACATAAAAATCCCCTACACTCACAATAGATCCCCCAACAGCCAGCATCAATAGATCTTCCAGAACACCCCTTGCCATTATATACATTCAGAGCTGGAGGTGCTAGAGGTGTCGGAACTGGAACTGCGTTTTTCCCATGTTCCTGCTGAAAAAAAGCCATGTTTTTAGCCCTTTGGGGGTTGCTAGAAAAGGCATTGTCACCCAAATGGCACAGGATGCCTACAAGAGACAGAACACTGCAGGTTTTTGTTGTTTTCTGGTGTGTTTATTTTACTGTTATTTGGTGTTACTCAGAGCGGTAGCAAACCGCATAAAAAAAAAAAAACCTGGGTCCCCCTGCAGGCTCTTGTCATAATGAGCTGGTATGCACCGCCCAATAGGGCTTAATTGTAAAGAAGAATAAAATGTTCTGAGCTAAGACATGATTCGAAGAATGGGGGATTGTTTTGGGTGCCACTGGCTGTTTGCCCATTGGCTCAAGTGATAGAAATCAGGCCCTACAGTTAGGGCTGCAACAGGATGGTGTGCCAAGGGGATCCCAGAGACCTATAAGGTTACAGTAGAAGATCTTAAGTCCCCATGAAGAAAAATTCCACTCACAATATTCTTTTGGGGTAGAGTTTCTATTTTAAGGTTTGAAACATCATGAATAATAACAACTCATTTTGGTTACTTTGGTAAAAAATAGAAAAGTCATTTAAAATGCAGAAACAAGAAAAAATAAATAAAGTGGAAATGTTTACAAGTCTGATTTTAATCAAAACCATCAAACATCTTTCTTGCTATCAACATGTGTTTGGTTTATCTTCATATCACATCAAGAAGCCACAAGAAAAAAAAAAGGCAAAGCGTAGGAGGAGGGTTCATGTGATCCCTTCAAAATAGTGACAGGAAGAGGTAACTGTCACTGTGTATGGGCACACAAAGGGTATGTCAATGTGAGGAAAGACCTGTTTTTCATTACAGTGGAACCCAGGATAAACATTTTGTGGTTAAAGCTCACAGCCTGTTTCATATGAAGGAGTTCCCTTCATGGTAAATATGAATCACTGAATTTTATGACCTTACAGTAAAGGCGATCTTTAACATTTTGTTCTTGTACACAGACATCTACCTTGCTTCACATACATGAAATAAGCATCTAAGACAGAACTAGTTTACCCTGTTGCTACCTACATAACACATATGTGCAGTGGGAAAGGGGTGGGCTTTAACACCGACACACCACATATATGCGTTATTGTGTGGACAATGTTTCTGCACTGAGAACACGCTCACTGCACTCTGCTAGCACAGAGACTGAGCTGTCGGTCCCCACTAATGATTGCTAGTTGGAGGGTCAGGCCCCCCTCATATGGCCACTGTGACAGCCAACCACAATAGTTATGTGGTGACCAATCCCTCCTGCCCCCACGGTATTCAGAACCTTTTAAAGGGATTCCAGGGCAGGTGGGAAGGGGTTAAAGTGTGTATGTTATACCAACGTTTCATATTCCTGACATGTATGTTGCACACTGTACTTCTCTTTGCATTACTTCCTTTTTGAGAAATACCCAGTGATCCTGCCAATCCCCCTGCTTTCCTATTTCAAACTGATCACACTAGGAATGGAAACACACATCCCTCCCAGCGTGGTCAGTTTCTGGCTGTGCTGGGGGTACAGCCTGCCTGACATCCAATGGTCAAGACTTCTGCTGACATGCTGACCCCCCCCCCCCCCCATTCACAGCCATTCACTGGAAAGATATGTGTAATGCTCTTTTTATGGCTCCTGCTGAAAAGCTCCCTTGCAGTCTCCACCCCCACCTCTTCAAGCTGAGAACAGAGATTATGTGATTACTTATAAAAAAAAACAAAAAAAAATGGTATTTATATATATATATATATATACATACTGTGTGTATATATATATATATATATATATATATATATATATATATGTACTGTACAAGGTGAGGGTTCACATATACTTCAAAGTTGAAGGTTTTTTCAACCCCTTCCTCCCTGCCTGAAGCCCCCTGCCACAATTTGTTTAAGAAAATTCCCTAGTACATATCCTAAAGCCAACCTTCAGGCAAACAGCTGAAAACAGATACAATATGTAAAAGTGAGTACTTTTACCTGCCAAAGGATTTCTTTTCTGTCCATCTAGTTCTGAAATGTAAACAGCACAGTCCACTCTTGGCAGGGCAGGAGATCTACTTTTTTTCTCTGTTGCAGTTAAAATGGTTGTAAAGGCTGCATTCTATTCAATAAGGTGAAAAAAACCCTTCTGCATGCAGCTCCCCCCTGCAGCCCCCCTCTAAATACAGTACATACTGAGCCCGATTTGATCCAGTAATGTGCATCAGAGTCAAGGCCCTTGGCTCCCGTTGTTGTCAATCAGAGTCAGTAAGGAGGGAGTGGGGGCAGTATTAATAAATATTGCTGCATTCATTTTTGTATTTTATATCTGCCTGGAATTAGCTAAAAAGTAATTGTAAAGGTTTGTTTTTTTGTCTCTCAAATTAACAAACATGTCATACCTTAGCAGCCCCAAACCTCCTCTTCTTGGGTCTCCCACCAGCGCTCCTGGCTCCTCCTTCCCGCTGAGTGCCCCTACAGCAAGCTACTTGCTATGGGGGCACTTGCCCTCACTTGTTCCTAAGACACACAGAGCAGGGCTTGACCCCATCCCCCAACTCCCTCCTCACTGGATTTGATTGGCAGCAGCTGAAGCAAAATGGCTCCCATTGCTTTATCTGAGCCAATGGGGAGGGAGAGAGCTGTGAGAGCCTCAACTCCTGTGATCATCATTGGAATATATTTAGGGGGGGAGCTGTGTGCAGAAGGTTTTTACCACACTGCATAGAATGTAGTAAGGTAAAAAAAAAACTGTCTGCCTTTACAACCACTTTGAATCCTGCAGTCTTCAGGGCAACCTGGTGATTTGACATGTCCTACCTTTTCTTCCTCAGCTGCAGCGGTTGTTGGTCTCTCCTTCGTGACTGAGTGGCAATCATGTAATTACATATTAATGCCACTGAGTCCTGGAGTAATGTGAGTCTTTAACAGCCTAGGTCCAAAGGGATTGATGGCGCTACCCAAAGTCCATCCTAGATGATAAACCTGAGCTGAACCTTGCGGGAGGACTTCAGCAGTGGCACAATGTGAGCATTGTAGCAAAAGCGCTGCTTTTTTA